AATGTGTCGAGCGAATAAAGTTCGGTCGATAGAAGTCGTGTGTTACTCACATTTTCTTATACGCATTAAACGCTCGCATACACGGTAGCATGTGCTTATCTTTTCAGTTAATTACTAACACCCTTTGAGCAGAGAAATCATTTTATTGACTGTTTTGCTTCCATTTTGGCGTGTTTCATACGTGTTTCGATGTGAATTAATTCCATCATTTTCCCTTTGGAGTCGCATCGATGTGTCGTGTGTGTGTATACATCTCGTGCAACATTTCCATAGTTTTCGACAACGGGGTACACATTTTAATGTCATTTTACTGTCTATACTAATATAAAAGACGCAATTATGGTGTGTATCATCATTTCGAGATGCATGTATACGAAAGACAGATAAAGCGAATGAATACAACCATTCGAATGTGATATGGTGGAACATATGAACGTGTATCGTTTATTTCATTTAATTCCATTATATAAACACCTGGAAAAGTAATTGCTCCTCACACGCATCAATCTTAAAATCTCTCTGAAGATCTCTGCTGACGCAAAATGATGATTAAAAATAATCATTTTACTTCTCTTTGCTTGTGTCTTTGTGTGCGAGAGAGACACAACGTAACAGTGAAATATAGCTGTGTTTGCAGAGGAATGTGTGATTAGTTTGTAACGAGAGATAAAATATATGCACGATTCAAGCTACCATTTCAAAAGTGTTTGAAGTTAACAAATCAATCGAGACTGATAAAATACGCATCAAAATGTGAAATCCTAGAGAGACAGAAAATCAGTGTCGTATGTCGACATACAGTATTGTGTAACGAGGATTACATCAATTTTCATTCACATTCATGCGACAAAAAAACTTTTTGATTTTGATTTATTCACAAGAAAATGTACTTATTCAACGTTTAACATGAGTTTTTCCACAGCAACGCCCAAGCCATTTTCAACGAAAAGTACTTTTTAATAATGAAATTAAATCCAGTTCATAAATTATGCGAAGATGTGCATCCATAGAAATGTCTGCAAATGTTGATGAAAAATTGATGTCATACATATAAAGCGAGCGAATTCGTAATCAAGAGAAGGAGAAAGAGTCGTTGGAGGAGGAGGAAGTCTTTTCATTCTCGAAATACGCTTTTTATTCTATACAATAATAATGCTAATGGAATAATGTGTTAGTAAAATATGTCACGCATTGCATGCGATTATAGGATATAATCAAAAACGAATCTTCAATCAGAAATAATCTTCCGAGCTTCGATGGCATTAAATTGGTAAATTATCAATGAATTGAAACATTATTTACAAAGCATCCAATAAATAATTATAATCCAAAGTAACACCGGAATGAATGCATTGAGAGGGATGAGTATAAAAACGTACGGTTGCTATGTCAAATCGACTGAAAAATGTGCAAAAATTGAAATTGGCATTGAAAATTCAATAAAGACCGAAGAGATGATTCTTTTATTATTATAATAAAATGGCAGCGGCACGTTTTGATCGAAATTCAATACTAATTGATTTATTGTGTCATGTAAACGGTTTTTATAACATGGTCTACACCTACTCGTGCATATAGACACCGACATGCAAAGCGAAAAGAGGCTTTCAAGTTGACCGATGCGAAAAATCCATAAAGAAAACGAGGCCTTAACAGAAAAAAAAAACACGGCATTAATTAATAAATAATTAATATGGATGTTGGGATGTTGGACGATGCATTATGCTTTCGAATAATTAAATCGTAATTGAATATATTTTGCTTCATTTAATCCCGATTCGATTATGGGTGGACGCTTGTTACCTTTTTTTTTTATTTTCTACGTGTTTTTTTTCTCATTAGTTTTACTCTCCGGTTGACTGATGAGCAGGAAATGTTGCAGTGACTCTTTTTTTTCCTGCTCTGTAGTCACTGCTGCCGTTGTTCTGTCCACTAGCGATGAGAATGGGGTAAAATCGAATTTGAAACCGATACCGTATTATATAAAGTACTTGTGTTCAACGGCACACAAAAATGTTGTAATCGCATGAAATGACACAAGGAAGATGAATGGAGGAAAAAAGAGTCGATGACATGTCACACACTATCGTCATTGGATTGTGTCGTTTTTATGTCGCTATATCATTTTACTATACTATCAATACGATTGGCATTTCGATTTTTCTTTCTCACTTGCTTTTAGCCATCGAATTTCATTCGTTCTTCTTTTTTCTCTTTGTCTTCTTCATTAATATTATATTTTGACATAAATTCTTGTGCGACAGCAGCCACTTCTGATCCATTTCTCTCTCATTTTGTATGTTGGCCAATCAGTAGAGTTTCACACATTCTTTCCTCGCCTCTGTTCGAAATGCTATAGAAATGAGCGTATGATGACTGCCAATAATAAGCATTGATTAAATGAAAACGTCTTAGGTTTATGTGTTATTTATTCTTATTGTTATGACTATTGTCTTCTTTTGGGCCAAATCATTTGGAATATATTCGGTTTGATTTGCCATTCGGTTTTGTTTTGTTCTCTTTGCCACTCGTATCCGAATCGAATATTTCTATATGTCTGTGGCATTGGTGGATTTTTCCAATTCCAATGCTTGTCAGTTAATTATATTGCTTTAACTCGAATTCAATGTATATAACAGAATATGACTGACCGTAAATCTACATAAAAACAATGCGTGTTTTCAATCTAAATTGAAATCAGAACGTGGATCGACGAAATTTAACGAACTCCCAAATGAGTAACTGGAAGTCAATTTGAATCATTCATACGAACAGAGCGAAAAAAAACGAATATTCACCGAAAAAAGAAAGAAAATGTGACGATGGTGCAATGAACAGCAACAACAGGAAAATCTAATTCAATTATTAGTATTATGGATATACTGACGATGTTTGTTTTCACATTATGTGCGCTATGTGTGCCTATCGCGTTTGGGCCTAGGATTTTCATTTATCTTTCTGTGTTTGTTGCGCCATTGTGTATTTGCTCCGGTTTTATCTTTTGACTGAATTTCTGTGAACGTGTGCGTTCGGTTGCCATGATGCTTATGATGCTTGAAACTTGATTATAACAATTAGTACCACTGAATAATCAATTTGGTGGAGGGGGCATTTTGCCTTCAAATGTATATGTATGCTGAAAAGAGAAAACAAAAATATTATATTGATAAATAAACAAAAGAAGTGTGCGTGCGTGCGTGTCAAGTTGTTTGTTATCGAAACAACATTCAACACAAAGTTAAGTGAAGTGTATTTGAGACGCTTATATGTGAAGTTTTTATTTGTTTGTTTGGCTGTCATCGTTGAAAGAATATTCGCATGATTTTTTTTTCCCTCGTCCCTTTGTTTTTCTGGATGAGCTGCCTTTAATTAATTGATCGCCTTCAACAGTCTTGTTTTTATTGCCTCGGACCAAAAAGCTTTCAGTATAAACGCGCATGTGGCATGGTGTGGGCGCACGCCAAAAAAGACAGAAGCCATGATTATGACGGCGATGAAATATAAAACCTTGGTCCAAGTCCAAGTGAGAGTGTAGAAAACATACATACTGCGTGTAACACACTTAGATAGCGAATACAACAATATAAAAAATCGCCTCCATTGAAGAGGCTTATGAAAAGAGCTTTTGCTTATTATTGCTATTGTTATATCAACAATTGAATTATTAAGTGCCTTTGTTTCGTGAATTGATGAGCAGATGAACGCCCGCACGCAACAGACATTTTGCTTCCCCAAGTCACGATGTGCCAGCCGAATTGTATATATATGATTGTTGTATTAGTATTATTATGAATTGGATGACGACGACGACTGCCACAATGCTGATAATAACTGAAAACATGGGATTAGCTCTTGCTGGCTAAATATGAAATGATATTTATTCAAACGCTCGAATTTGTACACAGGAACAACTTAAACTGTAGACATCTTTTCACTGTCGATACAGGATTTTGGTGATTATAAATGAAGTGTATCCGATGTTGGTACGGAACTCAAAGACTACACTTTGATGACATCACATTAAAAATATGGAACATCTGCCAAGCACTTTTTTGGCAGGCGACATTAACACTGGGCGATCGATTTTTTCTTCACAACACGAACATCGTTAATATTTTATTCTATCGAAAAATTATTTGTTTGAATTTCATTTCAAATGTCGTTTGAATTTCGTCGTCATGAACATAACCAACAAATTATTCAATGTCTGTTTGTACATTCCATATCATTCCATATTAAATTTTAATTAATTTACTACTTTGTTTTTGATCTGGGTTGAATGTAAATCGATGCTGAAATTGTGAACAGCTGAACATTTTATGGCAAAGTAATTCGTCTATTTGGTGTTGGAGGAAAAGAGAAATTTAATATTTATTCGTTCGATAAATGAAGTCGATAAATTACAACCATAACCATATTGTTCATCCGGCATTGTTAAGATAGAGCGAGAATGCTGCTCCTGAAATTGGATATTAAATAAACCGGATATATTTGCACATTCATTTAAATTGTCATTATTTTATTTTGATATATATGCATGTAATGGCGTCGGTTTTCTAGTTTTTTGAATTCGGCAAAATGCTGTTATGATTACTCCAGAATAAAAGCAACACATGATTTCGTGGCGCATCATAGTGATAAATATTACAGTCAAAACGAAACCACGTACATGTTAAATGTAAAAATTGCTGATTATCTGAACTTACACAGGTGTTCGAGTGAAATTTCAATGACTAAAAAAAAGCCTTGAACGTCATCATATATCGTTGTATGTTTCGTATTTTAAATTGAATTTTACTACAATAACCGACTTTGTTTCGCTTTGATGTAAATGACAAAAAAATACACCGCTTGAATTCTAGAACTCTTTTTTTTCTGTATGAAATATTTATAATTGTTTGAATATACACAGATGTTGGAGTGAAATGCCAATGACGAATATAATAAGCTCGAAAACTCATCAAACACGGTTGAGTAGTTGAATTTTTCCATATAAAATTGAAAATTTGATCGATTCAGTGTACTTTGTTTGGACCTTTTATAATAGAATCATCTCAAAACGTTTAAATAACAGTTTTGATAAAGCAAAGAATATTTGTTATTTTTCTCAATGTCATCATTAATTGTATCATCATGGTTGTTACTGACAATGTAATCGAGTGTAACATTTCAAAATAAGTAATAATTAATAATAATTTTTTTTGAATATTAGATTTTTCGTGACTGCAAAAGGCGATCAAGTTTTGGCTGGAATTAAAAAGCCAAACACTCCATTTACAAATGAAACAATAAACAAGTTCATTGAATTAGTGCGTGAAAAATATCATTACAATATGATCGACGTCCGGTCTTTCTCTCAGCCCACAAAATATCCTCCTATTCCCAATAATACATATGATGTTCAAATTTTATACAGTCATTCAAACCACTACATATGCATTTATTTTGATCCTTTACACGAAACTGTTTACGTTTATGATAGTTATATTTCTAGTACAAAATCTATAATTATGCACGAACACAATTTAATTGTGCAAAATCGCTTTCCAATGTCAAAAACTGTTTATGTTATACCAAAGACGGAACAATATGATGATACATCAAGCGGACCCCTTGCGATTGCGTATGCAACTACATTGATTTTGGGTGAAAATCCAGCGATTTATGGTTTCCAAATGAATACAAAACATTCGGATAAGGCAATTCATTTGAGAGAACATATTTTTAAAATGTTACGAAAAGGAGAGTTATCACTGTTTCCACGGCAAGTTAAAACTTTAAGTTTCTTTAAAATGTGTTCAAACAATTTTTTTCTTAAAAACAGATCGGATCGTCTCGATATAGACTATATTTCTCCTGCTTTTAACAAAATACACCCCGATATATTGAAGGAGATCAACACACCAAACAAACGTTTTACCTTTCGTACAATCAATCTTTTTGCAAATTTAGTTACGGCGACGACTAATTTCGATATGGTTCCCGTTATGTTCGCCGACTATCCCGAACTTTATCCCGTTCATAATGACACAAAAAATGACGTTCAAATTTTATTCGCGGAAGGAATCGAAACAGCGGGTCATGTGATGTGTATATTTTATGATGCAGCTAATAAAACAGTCGTCGTTTATGATGATCAAGAATTGGATGATGAACAAATGATGACTATATTGAGACGATATCCCAACTACCAATATATTACTTACATTCATCCAAAAACAAAACAAAGAGATAGCACCTCATGTGGACCATTTTCCATTGCATATGCAACATCACTGATCCTTGGCCATGATCCCAAGACTCACAAACTTAGTACGACTACGTTACATTGTGTATCATGTTTTCCCCAAAAGTTTGATGATTCGAAAATCTTTCGAAAACATATTTTAAAAATGTTTAAATCAAAAAAATTATTACCATTTCCGCACGATTGAAGCTGTTTTTATGTGAGAAGAATTATTTTGACGTTAAAAAAAATGTTGTATTACAAATGTTATAAATAAAATGATCTTTTCAAAGAAAAAAAACACCCAACCATTATAAAATTTATGCGTTTACGCTCATTTCTCAAAAATACTAACAAAGTTTTGTTGCAAAAAGAAATCACTTGCAATAGCAGATATTGAATAGCTATGTTTGATTTTGATGCGTGATGAAATTGAATGGAGTTTTTATTCTGAAGCATTCGTATAAATTTTATGTTTCGAAATCTGAATAAAAACACGTCTGTTGTGCTGTACTATTCTTCTTCAACTGATTGACTTTTATTGCTCATTACTTATAAGCACTACAATCGTATCGAAACAGCCAGCGATGGATCGGCATGAATGTAGCGCTAACAATTATAAATAAAAAGTCTTACGGGAGTAAGACGAACTTTTCCGCACTGTGGTAGTTGCGTATTTTATTAAGAAAGTTCAAAATAATATTTGTTCGATTTTTCAAGCCTTTCAAGCATCGTAAAGTTCGAAACCAAAAAATATGTTTCAACTTTGGCAACGAAATATTTTTTAATTTAATAGCAGAAGTACCCGAGAAAAGATTTTTCACACTTTCATGATGAACCCATTTGTACGACATTTGAAAGTATTCTATTTTCTAACAAAATACTATAAAAAATATGTCTGACGTTAATTTTGCCATAAAAATTATTTTTGAAACACTTTTCATAACTAAAGGCACAAAAAATTTGGATCTTTGTATGGGAGCCATGTCTGTATGCTATATTAATGGTGTGAAACTTTGCACAGGTTATTTTTTCACAAAAAAATAACATTCGTAGGGTTTGGAGAAATTTCAACCAAAATTAAGGGTACCTCCCATACAAAATATTCGTTTTTGAGCCAAAAATTTAAAATATTGTATGGAAGGTACCCCTAACTTTGATCGAAATCTCTTCAAACTTTCAGAATGTTATTATTTTGTGTAAAAAATAGTCTGTGCAAAGTTTCACGTCATTAAAGTATCATACAGGCATGGCTTCCATACAAAAATTCAATTTTTTTGTGACTTTTACAAGGAAACTGTATTAAAAAATATGTCTGACGTTAATTTTGCCATAGAAATTATTTTTGAAACACTTTTCATAACTCACAAAAAAATAACATTCGGAAGGTTTGGAGAAATTTTAACCAAAATTAAGAGTACCTCCCATGCAAAATATTCGTTTTTGAGCCAAAAATTGAAAATTTTATATGGGAGGTACCCCTAATTTTGATTGAAATCTCTTCAAACTTTCAGAATGTTATTTTTTTGTGTAAAAAATAGACTGTGCAAAGTTTCACGTCATTAAGGTAGCATACAGGCATGGCTCCCATACAAAAATTCATTTTTTTTTGTGATTTTTTCAAGGAAACTGAATTAAAAATTGATTGTATCTCAAAACTAACGTCGGATTCGGTTTTCTCGTGCCAAAAAACCCCCCAATACATATTTTTGAATGTTTAAGTCCACATTAAGTATGACTTTTGGACGAAAATTGGACTCTTTTTCATAGGTATCACTCCAGGCATGACATTTTTTCCCATCAACCAAAGTCGCTCAAAAGCTAATGATTCCTATTCCTCGCGACCCCCAATCATCCTGTAAAGTCAGATTTTGAATTAAGTTTCTACGATGAGCGCAATCTTGCTAACAAATTTTGCGTACGACGTACAACGTACGACGTACAACGTACGACGTACGACGTACGACGTACAGATTAACACAAACCATGCTCAAAACGGCCTGATTCGGGTTCGCTGACCTCAGAAACGTCCAGAAAACATGTTTCTGAAGTTTTCAAAATTTTGACCGATTACAATACTTTTCACCTTACACTATGTGTGCGGAAAAGTAAAAAAGGGTCCGTTCTCAGACATGCCGCCGCCGCTGCAGGGCAAATTAACATAAATTAATGAATAGGTAACCTTAGGAAAGCTCTTAAAATCTAAATAGAATCTTTGTCGTCAATCGGTACAAATGCAATCTTGTTGATACCACGTCGGTACTTAGCGCCACCAAGTTGAACTTCGACATTTCGTACACATCCATCGTCCTCAGGGAACACAGCAGACACACGTGCCAACGGCCAATGGGTTGGAGGCTAGTTGTCAATTCTCAACAACACGACATCACCAATTTTGACATTCTTGGTGCGCAAATTCCACTTTGACCTCTCAATTTGCTGAGTGACATAATCACGCTGCCAGTTCACCCAAAATTCTTGCGACATTTTCTGAATCAGTCGCCAACGTAACAAGCGATTATCAGGAATTTCGGTATAATCAAACTGAATAGGTCCAATCAAGCGTCGCCTCAAAACCAAATGAGCTGGTTTTAATGCTTCACAACTCGTTGGATCGTCATCAAGGGCCATGATTGGTCTGCTATTCAAACATGCAGCAACTTGCGTTAAAACTGTGGCATATTCTTCATATGTTAACACCTGCGTGCCAACTACTCGACGAAGATGGTGTTTTGCACTTCGAACACAACGTTCCCATAATCCACCCTGATTCGGTGATAACTGTGTAATAAATTTCCATTTTTTCTGTCTTAACTGAAGCTGCTCACTGACAGTGATTCGTTAATTGCTATTGCCACTAAGACTTACTTAGAGTAATGTGCTAGCCAGCCGCTAGTTTACCAAATGACTCACACCCATATAACTGATGTTACCCATTACAATGATAACAGCTGGCTCTACGCTTCTTCACAAGGCTTGGATCATGCTTGTACTTGATCGACGAATCTTTGACCGTTTCAGCAACGACTGAATCAGCACCTCTAAAATGGCGTTTTGCAATGAATGGTCTACTCGATGCATCTCCTTGCGACGTATAGGAATAGCTTACATTTTCAGCTCGAACAACAAATTCAGCATCCATACCATCTGCACGCTTACGAATTAATTCTAGCAATGGTTTAAGCTCGGCTATCTTGCGTTGATCACGTTCCAAACTCCACAGCCGAATCGATTCACCGTCCATCTTTCTCACCAACAATGGAACTAAAATCGGACCCCAATGCTCAACCATAACACCATATTTAGGCAATGATCGCAAAAGAGGATTTGTTTCATTTATTAATGCTACCAATGCAGCCCTGTTCGGTGTATCAACACTAGGCATATCGACAAATGACAGTACTATTTCATTTACAATCTTCCGCTCATTATCGTACGTTTCACACAACAATTTCCATGCATTCTCATAACCATCACTCGTGCGATCCTTTTTGCATATCGTATTATATACTTCAAAATCCTGCTCCAAATGTGCCATTAAATAATAAAATTTCGCTGTAGTCGACATGCTCGTATTGTTATGGAAACAATTCTCGAAACTGGATTTAAATTGCGGCCACTTACTTCTATTCTTTCCATTGAACTTCTCAATGTCAACCTTTTTTACTTGAATATCAGCCGATTTCTGAGCCGGTACCGTTCTAGCTACATCTACCATCAACATTTCTTTCTTACGAGTGTCTAAAACGTCTATCACATTCGCATGCAATTCATCAATAGTTTGCATTCTCTCTTGCATTTTTACCATTTCAGCAGCACTGTAATTACTGCCCCCAGTCACGACATTTTCAAACGCTCTTTTATGATACATGTTGGCTACTTCAATTTGACATTCAACAGTATACAACGGTAAAGTATCAAATGATTCATTCTGTGTGATTGACAAGATTCTCTCAAGCCCGACGATGCAAACATGCTCTGGCGTATACGTTTCAGCATGCTCACCTCTTTTCGATTTCCGCGCGGCTCCGGCTTCAATTCTGTACGTCAACGAGATTATCTGAACTTTTCAGCTGTTCGAGTGAACTTTCAATGACTAAAAAATAAGCCTTGAACGTCATCATATATCGTTGTATGTTTCGTATTTTCAATTGAATTTTTTTTATATATGTGTGAGTTCCATTTTACTACAATAACCGACTTTGTTTCGCTTTGATGTAAATGACAAAAATATACACCGCTTGAATTCTAGAACTCTTTTTTTTTCTATATGAAATATTTATAAATGTTTAGAATAATTGTTTGAATATACACAGATGTTGGAGTGAAATGTGACTAATATAATAAGCTCGAAAAGTCATCAAACACGGTTGAGCAGTTACATTTTTCCATATAAAATTGAAAGTTTGATCGATTCATTGTACTTTGTTTGGATGACCTTTTATAATAGAATCATCTCAAAACGTTTAAATTACAGTTTTAATAAAACAAAGAATATTTGTTATTTTTCTCCATGTCATCATTAATTGTATCATCATGGTTGTTACTCACACTGTAAGCGAATGTAACATTTCAAAATAAGATCATTTCATTTTTAATGGACATTTTTTTTTATATTAGATCTTTCGTAGATATCATTGGGGTAAATGCAAAAGGCAACCAAGTTTTGGCTGGAATTAAAAAGCCAAACACTCCATTAACAAATGAAACAATAAACAAGTTCGTTGAATTAGTGCGTGAAAAATATCATTACAATATGATCGACGTCCGGTCTTTCTCTCAACCCACAAAATATCCTCCCATTCCCAATAATACATATGATGTTCAAATTTTATACAGTCATTCAAACCACTACATATGCATTTATTTTGATCCTTTACGCAAAACTGTCTACGTTTATGATAGTAATATTTCTAGTACAAAATCTATAATTATGAACGAACACATTTTAATTGTGCGAAATCGCTTTCCAATGTCAAAAACTGTTTATGTTATACCAAAGACGGAACAATATGATGATACATCAAGCGGACCACTTGCGATTGCGTATGCAACTACATTGATTTTGGGTGAAAATCCAGCGATTTATGGTTTCCAAATGAATACAAAACATTCGGATAAGGCAATTCATTTAAGAGAACATATTTTTAAAATGTTACGAAAAGGAGAGTTATCACTGTTTCCACGGCAAGTTAAAACTTTAAGTTTCTTTAAAATGTGCTCAAACAATTTTTTTCTTAAAAACAGATCGGATCGTCTCGATATAGACTATATTTCTCCTGCTTTTAACAAAAT